CTCTTTCCCTTTCTCCCCTTTTCACACTTTGCTAGGCACAGTCGTGCTCTAGCACCCCATCCGTCCGCCATTTCGTGCCAGTCCGCCCACAAAGCCCCCTTTTCGAAAGATGCATACACGTCACCCTAGATAAGTAACCCGGCTTTTTCCTCCCTTTCTCTTTCTTTCTTTCTCATTTTATTTGCTGCTTCCCTCGTCCTCTTGTGTTCTTTGCCTACGACTTGTGTTTTATTTTCTCTTATTTTTCGGAACTCGAATTTCCTCTCTTGCCCCGAAGCTGGCTCCAGACGTTAAGCCCTGTTTTGCCGTGCGGGGTTATCGTTGGGACTACACGTCGTCTTTTTGCCGGCCTGAAAGAGATTTGTGTGTGTGTCTGTCTGTCTGTGTGTGTGTGTGTGTGTATGTGCGTGCGCACGTGTTCCTTAGCTGTAGATGTCGTTAATGCCTTATCTCAGGCTCAGATTTGTGTTAGAAAACAAAAACGAATTTGCTGTGATGTGGAGGACATGGGTTCGAATCCCTTGTGATTGTAGATGCTATTTTGTCTCTTGGCTTTTTGAATTAGCTGTTCTTTAGTACGACATAGGCGACGTGGGTTCGAATCCTGGGATGGGGGTAGTAGGCGAATGTTTTATTTATATTATTTTTATTTAACCAGGATTCTAAAAATGAGTTTTGAGGAATACCGTAATCCAACCCTTCTTGTGGAGGGTGGAGGTTCAAGTCCCATATTTTACAGAGCCTAGACTTCTAGTTTTTGTTGATATGGATGTAAAAAAACAAAAACCCACACACATAAAAACAAACAAATAACTGAACACAACTACTGAGCTGCGATGGCGTGGTGGTATGGTATTTGTTCGTCTCTTGTCTAGATCTCTAGGTATAGTATATAATTTCCAAACCGACCACCTCACACCTACCACTACTGTTACCTCCTCCCTCTTTCTCTCTCGCTGATCTTCTTACTCGCCACCATTCCCGGCTCTCTTTCATTGTCCTTCTCTCGCTCCCTTGCCCTCCCTTCTTTCCTTTCTCTCCCCCCTCCTCCCCTCCCCTCCTCAGCTCCCAGCCACTTAGCCTAACCGTCTCTCTCCAGCAGGCGAGTTTCTTACCCTCCCTGCGTCTCTCTCTTTCTCTCCTTCCCCCCAGTCTTCCTCACCGAGATGTCTTTCTTTCCTTTCCTGTGGCTGAGCCACCACGTCGTCCACCGCCCCGCCCCGCTCTCCTCTCGTGGAGAGCCGAACCCTGGAGGCCCCCCGTTCTGTCAATTCCACCCCCTCTCTCGCTCTTTCTTTCTCTCTCTCTCCCCCCGCCGCTAGCCCGCCGGCTGTTCGTTCGTCTGTCCGTACGTTCGTTTGCTCGCTCGCACGCTCGCAAGCTTCCTTCCTCTTTCCATCATGGCGAAGAGAAAAGTAGTCCCCATATTGGTAAACGGGGTCAAAATATTTTGTGCGCCTGAGCTATTTCTGCGCTCCTTCCTTCCACCCCCGACAGAGCCCCAACCCCACCGTCCTGTTCTTTTCAAAGGTCAACCAAAGAAGGCTAATAGTTGATGGTTACTTCCCCTTCTGATCTATTAATTTCTAGTATCGATCAGTTGTCAATATGCGCTTTGGTGTGGGCTTTGAGTGCGCAGAGAAAGAAAGCGTGCATTGATTTCTCTCTTTCTCAACATGTAATACACCCTGGTTGTTGTGGCTGGCAATACTGTATCACAGACGACTACCGTAAGACCCCTGACACTAGACACACACACTCACTCAGGCACACACAGAGGGGAGGGGAGGGAAGGAGCGAGGCAGCCAGCCAGCAGGGCTGTCACCCTTACCATCCCCTCCCATCACTGGAGTGTCTTATCAGACAAAAGGCGCGGCAGGCTTGATTCTCGATGAAGCGTTGCCGTCAAATTAGCGAACTCGAACCAGCGCCGTCTGTCAAAACCCTCATCATAACTTTCACAATCACAAGCGAGGAATCCTTCCTCTTCTTCTTTCTACTTATGGGGCGGTCGGTGGGTGTTCCCCCCCAGTTTGTACAGTTAGGATTATTAAACGCACTGGCTGTCTCGGCACACAATACTGTTCTGTGGCTGGTTTGTTTGCTGTCCGTAGCCGATGGGCCTGTCCCTCTTTTCACGCTTCATCTCCCCC